TATCGTGGTTCATTCAGAAAAGTCCACCGTCATCCATGTTTCTTTCCTCCACACCCCTCCTTTCCATGTCCTTCGGCGACATCGGCACCCTTCACTGTCCCTGAACATTCGCGAGCCCGAAATTCTATCCGGACGACAACACTAGCGACGAGATTGCTCCAAAAACCGAGCGACTCGCTTCTCCATACCATCGAGCTGAGCCTTGAGCACGACGTACTTGGACATGAAATCACCGCCTCCAGTCTTTAAGGACTTCAGCTCCGTCGTGATATTGGCCACATCTTGAAGGAGTTCGTCTATAGTGCGTATGAGGGAGTCCTATCATTCAAGTCAGCAATGAAACGCAGCTGAGTAAGTCCGCATCTGATATGCCCTGATGAAGGCGCCTCTTGTCCGTGCTTCCCGGGTGCGGAATTGGTAAAACTTGGCTATCGGTACCTAAACCACGCGTCTGTTCGTGACAAATGTCCGTCTGCACCAGGACGACTCAATCTTCGAAAGAACCAACAGTGCCCTCTGACCGATTGCCAGCCGATTCAACTTTGAACGTGCTGCGGTCACCCTTAGACCACGATGACCGTGATCTAGCGCCGCGAAACAGCTCCGGCATGGCGTCACCGCGTAGTGGTACCCGAATATCGCGACCTTGCGGCCGAGACAATTGGGGTTACGGTGATCTCACCGGGGCGTAAGATGGCTGGGTCTTCCTACGGCAGCGAAAGATCTGCCGCGGAAAGCCTCAGCGCGTCCCAGCGTAGCACAGGCCTGTAAAGTTCCCACGATGCGATGGTTTGGTACGGACTCGAAGCAAAGAAAGCCAATCAAATGTGAATGAGAAAATGGACCTACCGTGTCGGTCATCGAGGGGACTTCGGCCTTGTCGCTGACGCTGGCGGGGTTGTCCGTAGTGCCTATCTTCGATGAAAATATCGTCAGCAAGATTGAGATGGATTTGGGAGACGCGTGGGGAAGGAAAGTTTGAAGGTGAGCAGGGTGGCCGTGAAGAGTTGGCTGGTGCGACGAGAGGTTTGATTTGAAGAGAGAGTAGCTCTGGAAGGGGGACGGTCGAGAGGAAAGATCAAAAGGACGAGGGTGGATCAAGAGGAAGGGTTGGGGAGAAAGACCGAAAGGTCTAGCGAAGAAGAGTGAAGGCTTACTGCTGCAGACATCTTGGCGCGATCAATGCGTTCAGTGATACGATAAACCTTCGGGTAAGGAAGGTAGCGGGTTGCTGTAGCGGTCGACGAAACAGATCGGGCTCAGAAGTTGAGGATCGGTGCAAAAGCCCAGATCGAGCAGAGAGCTGTTGAGATGGAGGTAGGGCTTGGCAAGTTTTGTGGGAATAAATTCCCGAAAGACTCGCTCGGTTGCTGTGGAAAATTTCAAGTGCTTGAGGTCAAGGTGAAGTCCAGAAGTTGGGATCAAAGGAAGGTGCAATTATCAAAGGCGGTGCTTGTGTTTGCTCCTGCAACGGGCGGTCTCCCGCCGGGGCGTGGCTCGCAAGTGGGCCCCTCTCATCTTCCACCACGTGACGTCAGAACAACAACAAGTCTCTCATTGACGGGTGTGTACAGCGGACTCCGAGGGGTTTCAACGCAGTTTTAAGGCAATTCTTGGTAGCCCTTTGCTGGAGCTACGCTGCCGGCATCCCCTCATCTAGACCGGGTCTTTTCTCTTCCACTGCCTCAGATCCGGCCAGCCGCTCCCCACGAAGATTTGATGGTCGGGTTGAGTATCACGAAGCGTTTCTTTTGCGGCAAGCATCGCAGACTCCACGCAGCATTGAGCCGCTTTGCCGCTGACGTAGACACAAATAGTGAACCATACCCATGCTAGCCTCATTAATCACAAGAAAACCGAACAATCAATCACCCGCGAAAAGCCTCTGCCACAGGGAAGGTGTGATTGCGTTGAAAAATGTGTTGAATTACTCTATCTACCGACCCGACTGAAAATCCCTGTTGAACTCCTCGCAAATCTCCCCGTTATTTCTTCTTGATGTCTATACCGTCTAGTTTGTCGAATCGGAAACGAGTTTGCAGAGAGAAAACCTGTCTTCATCCAGTCAGTTGAGAGAACACAACTGAGTAAGTCTGCAAATGCTATGCTTGAGCGGCTGCTTGCCCGCGTCCTCCGAACCGGCCGGAGGTGAAGACCCCCGCCACGTACCCTCCCCGGTAAGACCATCAGCGTATTCACTCCTCTCACAGGTGCCAACCCGATCGAGGCGAGGCTCAACTTCCCCTTCCGGAACGCTGGGGGTATCCAGAAGAAGTCGTCAGATTCGGAGGAAAACGCCCACCGCGTCAAAGGCAGCCTCGTACTCCCTCCAGTCTCGAGAGAAGGAGTTTGTATAAGGTGTACCTGTCCGTCCCAGAGAGGAGCGCGAATCTGAGACAGGCGAGAAGATTCCGTTCAAATTTTGCGTCTGTCTCTGGTCGTTGGCTGGACAGGTCCGTTTCGCCAGCGCGGTCGCACAGGCGGGCTCGAAGCCAAGAAAGCAAAGAAATGTGGATGAAATGGACTTACCCTGCGATGTGATGGATGAGCGAGAGAGAAAAAACAATCTCGCGCGCGCGCTTGTTTGTGTGTGTGTGTGTGTGTGTGTGTGTGTGTGTGTGGATGAGAGGACGAAGTCAAAAATAAGGTGACCCCAGAGGAAGGAAGGGAGAGATAAGTGAAAGTCGGAGAAGATAGAGGGGGGAAGGAAAAGAGTTTGCAGAAGAAGAAGAAGAGTCGCGAACCCAGTGGGCGAGAGGAGAGGTGCTTCAAATAGAAAGTAGAAGTGGGGCTGGGTGTGAGGCCGGCTCAGGGCTTGGGTCGACGAGGCCGTCACCGCATCTGTCCTAAGATGGAAAGAACGAAAGACGGAAGGGGCCCAGGAAAAGGAAAACGAGGAAAGCCTGTGATTGTTTGCGCAGAGTAAGATGGAAGTGAAAAGAACTAGGGAAGTTTCGAAGGACAAAGGCCGACAGTTTGGCCAGCAAGGCCAGGGGCCGGTCCGATAATCAAGTGTAAAATCGTTGAGAGGCTTGAAGAAGGAGGGTGAAGACAGTAAAGACAGAGGTGGAAAACAGAAAACAGATTTGTGGGAGCAAAATCCCGAAATCTCTTTCGGTTGCCAAAGAGAAATTCGAGCGCTTGAGGTAAAAGTGAGAAACGGAATGTGACGTAGAAGTTCAAGGAAGGAACTGCCTTCAAAGCCGGGATGGTGGGGTCTTCGCGGCAGCGGCCAGGCAGTCCCACGTCGGGATGTCGCCAAGAAGAGGATTGACGGTCCCACAGCCTTCGACATGTTAATTCAGGGAACAGACACCAGTATTACTCTCATCGACAGGGTGTGCGTACTTAGAATGCAGTCAGCGCAGACTTGGAGATGTTTTCAGTGCAACTTGACTGTAGATCCAATTCCAATGCTGGTTTACTCACTACTGATCCATAATGACCGACAGTAAGGATGCTTGGAAAGGATGCTTGATGGACGACGACGTTTGTGATCTGGCTTGTTGTCATCGACGATTACCACGGAGAGTTCCAGGCTCTTTAGCGCAGTCAAAATCAGTAACCTCAATGGAAATTCCAGCACTGTCCTGAATAAGCTAGCAATGTAGGTTTGCATGCTGCTTAGACTAGCCGAGTCTCTGCAGCTTTTGACCACCATCCCCTTTTAGTAATTCTTTCGCTTTTCCACCATCACTTCTCCCATCCTCCCACTTCACCACCACCCACCCCAAACTTCACCACCACCACACCCACCACACCCACCACACCCACCACACTACCAAAATGCCCAAGAAGCACAAACCAGGAAAGAACCAACGTCTTCGTGAGAAGAAGAGGAAGGCAAGAGCAACCCAAGCTCTCCTGTCCGGCGTGCCTGCCGCCACTGAACCCGGCTCCGTCTATCCCGCCGACCCCGCCGAGCCTCTCGCCGGCCTCACCAAGGCCAACCGCTTCAGGGTACTACACCAAATTTCACTCCTCCCGCTGCTAGTATGTCTAAAGCATCATCTAACTCACTATGTCACAGGTCAAGCGCAACGTCCGGAAGTTCACGCGCCGCCAGCTCAATGAGCTCGACATCAGGACCCAGGTCCAGACCGTCGTCATGAAGAACGAGATGGATAAGGCCATCGACGAGAACAAGGACTGGCGCCTCCGCGTTGAGACAGTCAACGCCGGTTTCCGGGAGAACCAAAGTGTCGGCTTGAGACTGGGCTTGGAGAACATGGAGCGAGTGGCCAGGGGACACAACGCTCTTGAAGAGCACGTCAGATGGGATGCACAGCAGACGACCGCCAAGATGGAGATCGTGGACGCGAAACTGGAGCTCGTCGGTGAGGATGTTGGAGAGCTGCGCGAGCAGAACAAGGCTCTGCGCGAGAAGAACGCCAAGTTGGAGACGGACCTGGAGTCGATGCTTGGCTCTCTCTCGGCCCTCCAGTCCGAGGTCCAGCAGCTCCGCAACTGCGGTTTCGATGGCAAGAGCGGCAAGCAGCAGTGTGGCGGCAACCAGGAGGGATGGAAGGGACGCTTGCGATCTCGAAAGAAGGCTTGAGCCCGAGCCGGCCAAGGACGTGTGTTTTCTAGAGCAGACAAAGAGTGTTTCAGAACGTGGTTCTGTCAAGGATGCCGGTGGGAGTTGGAATGAACATACTTTGATTGCCTACATTGTTTTCGCCTTTGTCTTTGGACAGTCAGCGCATCGGAAAGATGCTTGACTCGGACAATTCGCACACGTAATGCCTGACCATACATTCGTGATGTGTTTACGGACAGTGGCGTGTGAATGAAAAACAAGCCTGTCAGACTTCGACCAAGTGAATTTTGCCAATTTCACTAGCTCATCCAAAGTTTCCGACTACAAACAAGCAGAGCCTACCTCAAATGTTTCTTCACCGCACACATTGAACCTTCCATCCGGGTCAACTTGTATAAAACCTTCCGCAAACCCACCTCGCCTAGCCGCAACGCCAAGCCTCACCCCCATTGACGACACAATGCCGCCAATTTCGCAGGCCCCCAAAAGCGGCTTCCAGGTGCGTCACTTATTCTGGAATATCTCCCGAGATCTGTGCTGATATTCAATAGAGCTACGAAGAAGAAGAAGCTGAATTCGCCCGTGACGAGCAATACATCCTACGAACGAAACGCGACATCATCCGCAAGGCCGAAGACGTGGCAAGAATGCTGGAGGACACTGGACGAGTGATGGGTGAGGACTCTGATGCATTCAAGAAGATCTGGGATCAATTTCAGGAGTTGGCGCAGATGTACCTGCGCGTCGATCAGTCGCTGGAGAACATGCAGAAAATTCGAACGCAACTCCAGCAACTTCGGGACAGGTCCGGGTAAACCTCGGCTCGGATGGCAGCAAGGCGGTCGGTCATTTTGTTACTGTATGATGATGAGAAAGTAAACTCGGCTTGAGATAGAGGAGGTCTAATAAAGTAGACGTAGCTATTTTGATACTCAGTTTCAGTTGAGGTGCCGACTCCATCAGGCTTTTCACCATTGAGACATGTTGTCGTGGATGGGCGACCGTTATGTGGGTCTGGAACTCCGGTGCTTTCGGAGTTATGCATGTTCGGCGTTAAGACTGACGTTACCTCACTTAGAAAGCCCCAAGTGATATCAACCGTTTCACGCCCCGTTCCTCACTAGGTCCATTTCAGTTCCGAAAAATGGTATGGATACAGGGTTTCGGGGTCTCCAACGCCAGAACCCCACAGCCGCTTCCAGTTTCCGAGCCGCAACTTTACCTCGACCACGACTTCATTCTCTTCTGAGACCCACTCCTTCCCCGACCTCACTTCACACAGTTCAGCGTCCTTCAGCCTCCCCTTCCCCCCTTGACCTTCACTCCTTCTTCGCAACACCAGTTCGCAACGACCGCTGAAAATCTCACCCTCCCACCTCAAGATCCGCCAATCAAAAAAATCAGTCAAGGTACGTACAGCAGCGACCGCACAATCAGCCCTATCCCGCACCCGCCTCGCCGCGATCAGTAACGCCCGGGCCACCCTCGACTTCTATTTAATCCGCCCTCGTCTCCGGCTCCCTCGACTTTTCCTTCTTCCATCTTCATCACAATCCTTCTCCTTCTTTCACATCTCAATTCACAATGCAACCGCCATCACCACTTCCCATCTCGGTCGGTAAGTTCATCTCATCCACTCTTGTCTGCTTTCTTTTGGCCCAACGCTCGATGCGCAATCTGGTTGGCTCAAGGAACCTTCGCCAAGGACCAGGAAGGCCTGGCAGCATCAGGAAGCAGGATCTTTCGCCTGCTTCTTGCTTGTCTGCCTCACTTCCAGGAACTCCAGTAAGGGAACCCGCTTTCCGCGTTCTTGCCTTTCGCCCTTGGGTGTTTGGCTTGGACATGGTCGGCGGCTGCCGTCTTCACTTTGCGCAGCTCTCTCATGCGAGCCGCCTTTCTTTCCTTCCTTGCCTTCCCACGGGATCGAGCTTGGATACAAGGGGGAAAGGTGCGCCCCGCTTCTGGGTGGGTTGGCAACCCATGGGGAGATATGCCATTGCAACGGGGGTACGCGGTGCGGTTCATGCGGTAGAACCGGCCGCTCCTTGAGGGCGAGCTCGCGGCCATTCTCACGCAATGTCAATTGGTGACTTACTTAGTTGTTCGCTCGACTAACTGGATGAAGACAGGTGCTTTCTCTATTTTTTTTTCGCTTGCGCTTTTTGGGTGCGTGGTTGGGGTTTTGGAGTTTTTCTTGGCAAGTGCGCGGAGGCTGGGCTTTTCTTTTCGTGCTCTTTTTATTTCTTCGATTAGTTTCAAATTCAGCTAGTTTAATTCTCACTTGTAATTTGTGCTTTCTTGAGATTTGCTGCTCTGCAGTGTTCCTTGATTGATACTTTACCGTTCTAATCACATCATTTGCCATCTTCTTGTCGTACTTCTTGTCGTACCTTGCCGTCTATCATGATCTCGTTATAAATTGCGGGCGTCTGGGGTCCAACCCTGTATTCTTCGCCGAGAACCTTTAAGTGGCTGGAAGAGCTGTTCTCGGAGATCTCACATGTCACTAATAGTCACGCAGTCACGATATGAGACATTAAAGGACAGCTGCGGAGCGAACATCTGGAATTCTCAATCAATCTACTGCAGTCCCTCTCAAACAATCATTCTATCCCTCGAACGCAAGCTGCAGCGAACTCAAAGACCTGGACATCTGTGATCAAGAACATCTAACCACGCATGTTCATCAACGCCTCGATCTTGGCCTCGAGAGCCTTGTTCTTCTTGTCCTGTGCCTCCTTCTCCTCCTTCATCTTCTTCGCGAACTTCTCCTCGACACGCTGCTCGATCTGAGCAAGCTCACGCTGGACATAGGCCTCGACATTCTGGGCCTGGTTGGCAAGGTCCTGGCGAAGGCTGTTCTCGAGAGCCTGGACCCGCTCGGCGAGCTCTCTCATGTTGGCATCGACAGTGGTAGTGCCGGTGGCCTGGTTGGCGAACTGCTCACGGAGATGGGCCTCGAAGATCGGCATGCGTCGGTTGAACATCTCTTCGAGCTCTTCCTGGACGCTCTTGTCCCAGTACTTGAAGGAGTCCCGGGCCATGTTGGCGACCTTGAGAGCTATGCTGCCCTGCTCCTCGGCCCTGCGGCAGCGGTTTTCAACGCCGTTGTTGGCCTCGTTGAGACGGTCCGTCGCCTTGACGTAGTTCTCGTGGGACTCGGTGTTGTCAATGGCTTGCTTGGTGGCGAACTCGTGGGTGTTGAGGACCTGGGCGTTGAGCTCGTCCATGTGCTCGTGGACATCGCGGATGTCCTGCTTGCTCTGGTTGCGGCCAAGCAGGGAGAAGGCGAGCGCGATGATGAGCTGCTGGCGCGCCTCGGGGCTGGCGCTGCGCAAGATCATGTTGGCCTCCGAGAGAATCTCAGCGTCAGTGCGGCCAGAGATCAAGGTCTCAAGGTGATCCCGGAGGGTCGCGGACATGGAGACGGTCTGAGAGCATGGGGTTAGCGACCTGATGACACGAGTGAGGAGGGCCTAGCAGAATTTGGCGTCACGTACGGTCTGGCTGGGACCAGTGCCGGCCATCTGCTGCGAGCAAGTTAGCGATTTCCATGGACACGTCGGAACGGAGTCAGCAACTTACAGAGTCTTGAGAATGGTCCATCTTGAACTGTTAGACGTTGATCTGGTGCGGCGTGGTGTTGATTGCGAGGTTTCAAGACGGACTTGGGATGGCAACGGACGCGGTGGTTGCTGAGGTGAGAGTGAAGGAAGAATTTTAGGCGACCTGGGCAAAAGTCAAGACCAAAAATATTTCAGGCGCTAAGCGAGACGGGCTGGTGGTCTGCACCGTCAACAAGTCCTGTGAGATGAAGCTGTGGGTGAATAGTCTGTATTCGTTACAGGTACGTACTCAGGGATGCGCGGATGCCATGAGAGCCAACCTGGAAGTTCGTCTGGCCCAATCTTGCAATTTTTCAGTCCTCATCCCTCCCACCAACCCTTCGCGTTGCAGCGCCATCACAAACATCATCGCCCATCATGTCAAAGAAAGCCCGTCCCGGCCAAGGTGCCCGTCGCCGCGCAAAGAAACGCGCCGAAGCTGCGAAAGCCAACCCCGACGCCATCGACTCCGCCAAGACCAGCACTCTCACGCGCCGTCAGCGCATCACCGTGAGTTACCCTCAAACAGTCATTCTTATCTCAATAAGCCACAGTATCGAAGCTAACAGCTGAATTCTACAGAATGCGAACGAAAGACGCAGGATGACCAATGCGCGCCTGGACCAGATCGAGCAGACGGTCCAACAGACACACCGCGAGGCGGCCGAGTCGAAGAAGGAGACGGACTCGTGGCGTTTCCGCACCGATTTGGACACCGTCGACTTCAAGCTCAGTGCAAGCAACGTGGTGGCCAAGCTGGCCAAGTTGGAGGCTGAGAAGGAGGATACGAAGAAGCAGTTGGGGGACATGGCGGCCACAATCGCACGTATGGAGGAGGAGTTGAAGAAGAAGGAGAAGGAATGAGGGCGGGGCTGTCCCGGGCTGCAGCATCATGCAGAGGAGTCTTTGTGATTGTTTGAGCACAGTTTCTTCCCTTTGGTCTTGTTCTATGAATTTGAGGGACATTTGACCAGGACATCCGTTTATTCTTGGGACGTCGTTGTTCTCCACGCCAAGGCCTTGGTCCGAGCTTGGTCGACTAAGGTCCGGCTGCATGAAAAGAGAAGATTGAACAAGAGAAAAAGATTCTCCCAAAAAGTCTGTTCATAAAAATACTTCAAGAGGATCATCGACCTTTTCCCATCTCATTTTTCTCATTTTCCACCTGCGATGAAAAGGTCGGCCATCGGGTGGCTCCCCTGTCGTGTCCCAGGTACGAGGCACGAGCAGGCACAATCGAAAGTTGTACACAGTAAACGCAAGCACAGTGAACGAATTGGGATTTTATGTGGGGCTCCAGCACAGTGACCACTGCACCGTGAGGTACATCGAGCAGTGTTCAGGGTACGTACCTGACCAAAGTGGAGTTGATTCAATTAGACGCGGACACCACGCCCCTACCCTGGTCGATCGATCTGATCCTGCGTCTACAGGGGAGCCTCCCCTGTCGAGGGCCTGCAGCGGGCCGTCCCGCTGAACTTCCAGCACCAAAAAAGCCGATGTACACTTGGGTACAGCGAGGTACAACGAGAGACCAAACAACCCAAGGCCGGGCACTGAACTGCAGTACCAAGGAAAGTGCCCCACCTGCCACACTTTGATTCAATGACACACTCTTCCCGACGACCTCAGCTTTTTGTTCGATGGTGAATGTCGAGCGCCGTAACGGGCCATCCCATCTCACCTTTTTTTCCGTCGCTAGTTTCATGGGATTTTGCTGTGCGTGTGGGCGGTCGGCTCGGTTATCCCGATTGACTCAGGGCTAGAGTTCGTAGGTTGTCGGGCCGTCAGCTTTTCTCATCCTCAGAGAATTCAGTTCCACTGACTTTTGCTTTTTCTCTCCCTTCTTCTCTCACATCATTCCGAGTTTATCTCATCCTTGCACTCAACATGGTATGCGCCAATTTCCTTCAGAGAGAGGCCTTCACTCACGACTTTGCAGATGGACACTCCCAACGTTGCCTCCGAGAGCTTGGGTCCGTCCTCAGACACCAACATGGTACTGTTCACACTTCTCCCTCCTCTCAACCGTCTCCGATCCCACCCCAAAACAAATGATCGTCATTTCATGTCTTCTCCCGCAACTGCCCAAATTCCCTTTTCATCCGCAATGGAAACTGACCCCTCGCTCGCAACAGAAGGACGCTCCGGCCGACAGCAGCACCGCTGCCAACCCCTCCTCGACCGCAAACACCGTAAGTCCATCTCATTCACATTCGACTGCTTTCCTTTGCTCCAAGTCTGCACGCGTCGTTGCAAGGAGATCACCTCTTACGGGCCCACGCCATGTTGGATGATGGAATGGCTGTCTGCTGGCGGATCTTCTCGCCGCCTGCAGGCAAGCACTGTTCCGTCTTCCAATAGGGTTTCCGTTTGGCGCAGGGTTTTCTCTTTGAGACGATCAATCACCCGGAGCGTGTCCCGGCTGGTGGGCCTCCCCCTCACGCGGGGGTTGAACATGCAGTTGGGGGGCGCGCCCAGGGTCTGAGGCACGGCTGGCAGCTGGCCTCAGAAAGCAGGATGTTTGGGTACATTTCCCCTCCCTCCAGAAGGACTTTGTCTGGAGGGGTACACGTGGTAGAGGGCCGAGCTACGGCTAAGACACCCTGCCGCTCTGGGGAGAAGGCGGACAAGGAGCAAATATTCTCGAGCAGATCGAATGCGGACTTACTCAGTTGAGGATCTCTTAGCTGACTTGAATGAAGGCAGGTTTACAGCATCCCGGCGACTCCTCCTTTCTTCCGACGTTCGACCGCATGTCCGAAAACGTTCTACGCGCCGCTCACGATGCTGGAATGGGCTCTCGCATGATCGAACTCACGAGAATTCAGCAAGAGCAATTTCGCTGCCTGGTTGTTCAGATCGACAAGTTGACCGCTGCAACTGAGGCCTTTGCCAAGGAAATGGAGAACGATCGGATCTCTGAGAAGGACAACTTTGCCAAAATCAAGGCAGCGACTGATAAGATGCGTGCCAACCGCGCCAAGGCGAAGCTGGGTGATCTCAAGTAGGGGCTCTACAGCGACATCCACAAGATGAAGGATTTGGAGAGCCAGATAGACAAACGTAAGCGAATTGCCAAGGAGATGCAGGACGTTGCCAAAAAGAGTCTTCTCTAGATGTACCTAGAACGGCATGCGCGGCCAAATGCTGGCATTGAGGTTACTCAGTTGTAGTTGGCTGCGACTGCCACACACCATCAATACCATAATACAGACCAGTCAGTATCCATTTTGCTCATTTTGTGTTTGTGTCCGTGGCCTGGTAGTCCGAAATGATTTGTTTCCGTTCACATTGAATCGATATGTTCGCAGGCGAATGAATGCAAAAGTGTATTTCAAGTGCATGCCAGGCGGATCTATCCCCGTCACTCGCAAACTAAGAGCCACGAGCTTCGTGTCTTCATGTGTCGAACATTAAGTCATGTTTGGCGTCAGCCTCTGACCCCTCGCCGAAGACGTCCCTTCCAGCCTCCCTCATCGCCCTGAGCCTTCTTTATCGACCCTCGCGTACGATCCTTCGGATTCTCCGTCATCATCTTCATTGCAGCCTCGCTATCCTTCAAAGACTTTTCCACGTCATGCCTCAGCTCGTTTCTCATAGCTTCCCTGTTCTCCCGCTCCTTCTCCAGCTCCTGTCACAGCTCATAGTTGTCTGAGCGCAGTTTGTCCATTTCCCTCGCCTGCCGGCACATGTGTGCCTCTTTCGAGGCCATGAACCTTTTCATGTCGTTGATGCTCCACTCTTGTTGCATCTTGGCATCGAAGAATGAGTAGAGTTGCACCCTCATCTTCTCCTCCAAGTCGGCGAACTTTTTTTTGATCTCAGATGACGTGGTGTCCTTGAACTGCCGGACGTCTCGACGCAGGAAGGACATGTTGAGGTTGATGTTCTTCCACGCTCTGTTCGCGACCTACTTTCTGTCAGCATCATGCCATCGCTCTGCGTCTTGGGATGGATGTACCTTGAGGCGGGCCAGACGGGTCATTTTGACTGGAGGAGACGATGCCTCTTGAGAATGCAGGCCATCTTCGTGAATCTCGTTGGGTTCCACGCTCTTGCTCAAGTGCAGATAGCCTTCGGAAAGAGCTTTCATTTCGAGCCGCTTAAGACGCTTCGCATGGCGTCTGGCCTGTTGGGACTTCTTGTTCTTGGGCATGGCGACGTGGGATGCTGTTGGGCATAGGGTCGATGTGTAGTAAGGGTGGAGGCTACAAAACACACATCACCTCGGAGACGAGTTTGCAGAGGACTTTTGAGGGACTGCTCGATAAGCAAGTCTTTCCTGGCGCGTGGGCCGGCACTCTGGTTTAACGGGACTTGGAGGGGACGGGAGGCCAAGGTCCGGGTACCTGCGTGGGGCGCCGGCACTGCAGGTGGTCCACGTCCTACCTTATCATCCCCAGAACAGTTTCTTTCGCACCCGACCTAAGTAACACCCGCCTTGCAAGTACCCAATTTCGGCAGGAAAGGCACGGTCTCTGCTCTTTCCTCATCTTCAAATTAAGTTGGGTGAAATCTCATCGGGTCGCCTCGACTGCGAAAAGTCTTTTCTTTTTCTCAAGCGACGAAAGTGTGCGCCTGTCTCGTCCAAACCCTAGGTCCTTTTTCTATCTCAACTCGTTCAACTTGAGCATCTGCATCTCCTTTTTTTTCATCCTCCTTCCCATCCAACCGAAAACGACTTTTTCGTCCAGCCAAAAGGTCAACCCACGACCAAAATCCGCACATCATCACAAAGATGCGTACGATCATCGACATGAAGACCGTCAACGAGGCGGTGAGTTTCTTTACTACTCTTCTTCACTTTTGATTCTCATCTAACTCAATCCAGGCCCCGGCTGCTCCCCCGGTCACCAATCGTACCACTACCACCTCTCGCGGCCTGGCTGTCGCTACCCAGCCTGCGACTGCCTCTCGTCAGGCCACTGATTCTGCCAACTCTCGTCCGTTCCAGACCTCTACGCAGACCGTAAGTCCAATCTTTCATACATCCACACTCGTCTATTTTCTCTGCCGCGAGCCTGCCTTCAAGGACATGAGGGAGGGCAAAGTTCCGAGTCTGCCACGCAGGGAAGCAGTTCGCGTCGGGCACGAGATCTTTCGCTTGTGCCAGAATTTCCGACTGCCCCTTGAGGGCTTGGTCCCTCCTCAACACCGGCTGGCCGGCTGCGAGGAGGCCATCTCCCTCGCGACCTTCTCGACCCACCGGGCCACTGCTCTTCACCAAGGTCTGCCTTCGGGACGGCCGAGGTGGAGCGCTATGCGACCTCGCTTCGAATGGTTTGGCAACCGCACAGGAGAGCTTTATGCCGACGGGTACTGCACCCAGGGGGACGTGGCCATTCAACCGCGTGAGAGTGACATACGGTAGTGCTCGTCATTCGGTTATGCCGCCCGGTAGGGTGCGGGCGAGCGGCTTCTTCACACAGAACAAGTGTTTTTGGACTTACTCAGTTTGTGTTCGACATCAACTGACTTTGGATGTAGCAGACTGGCTCTCGCGTCTCGGCCACTGCTGCCGGCGGCTATTATATGCGCGACCTGATCCAGATCGATGTCAATTTCAAAGTAGGTCCATCCATCCAGACTAGGGTGCTTTCTTCTGTCTTCAGTTTCTACTTGTTGGTGTTTGGCCCCAGCTGACTTTTGGATGTTGTAGGCTCACGCTGCTAACCAGATGGCCACTAAGAAGAGCGACAACATGCCAAGGGTCGACTACACCTCTCTGGACTTGGCAATCATGCTCAAGCAGCAAATCCAGATCTCCAGGGGCTTGAAACGCGAGCTCCTTGATCTCCATGTCAAGTATGACGCAGCTCACAAAGAGCTGAAGCAAGTCAGACAAGAGTCTGAGCAGTACAAGCAGGAGGCAAAGGCCAGGGCCCAAGCCAATCTTGCCTGGGACAAGGAGCACGCCAGAAGACTTGCAGACTGGAACGCTGCGCAGACTGCCTATAAGACGCAGATGGATGAGAATGCTGCGCAGGAATGGTAGGCAGAGGTGGATCACATGAACATGGCGCGTCCACGCAGGATTATTGGAGAGTCTGATAGAAGAGCGCTTTATACCAACGACTGAGATTAAGGATTCTGCGCAAACATACTCCTTTGATGATGAATAACTCCTTCTTTAATGGCTTTGTACTACTTCTTCGCCTTTTCGGTGGTCCATTCTTTGTTATTACTATCATGCGACTTTGATCCCATTATGATACTCCCCAAAGCCAAGACTCGTCCCATACTTGGTCAACATGATGTAGTCCAGACACCAACTTCAAAATCATCCCTTCTTGCCAGAGCGAAGGCGTCCCTTCCACACTTGCTGAGCTCGACCACCTTTGGTCAGGTCGGCGGGCTGTTGAGCTGCGCTCCTCGAGGCGCCCTTCACCAGCTGCTCGACTTGGCTCTCGATCGCAGAAATCCGCTCCTCCATGGTCTTGACCGCGGCATCGAACTTCTCCCTCGTCGGCGCCATCTCTGCCTGGTGACTTTCTCGGATTTTCTCGATGCCCTGAGCTTGCTTTGCGGAGGCAGCCGTAAGACCCTTCACGTCAGCCGTCAGATCCTCCAGGCTGGCTTCGAGGTTCTCCATGCCAGTCTCGAGAGTCATCACGTCAGCTGTGGTGCCGTTTGCCGCGGCGTCGTTTGCTGTGAGGTCTTCGGCCATAGCTTCAAGCTGCTCCACGCTGGCCTCGAGATTCTTCACGGTAGTCTCAAGACGGTTCACACCAGCCAGCGCATCATTCGCCGTGCTTCGAATCGCTCTTCCGTCGGCACAGGCAGCCGAAAAGTTTCTGATGAGATTTCTGAGGTCTTTGGCGATGTGGTCGGAAAGCGTCTCGTGGTTGCTCTTGATGTTGTTGAAGATATTGGCAGCAGCTTCAACATGGAGCTCCAGAAGCTTCAGGCGTCGGTGATGATCCTCGAACTGGCCTCTAGTGATCTTCTGCTTGAGCTTCTTGGCTCTCTGAGGAAGGGATGTCAGCTGATGCTGGGAGCGGCCGACTGATGGCCATGGGCGAAAGGCCTACTTACTTTCTGAGGCTCCAAGACGACGTTCAGTCCCTCGCTCTGTTCGTTCTGGCTGACGCCAAACGCCTCTGCTGCCTCGGGTACGGACGAGGGAAAGTAGGTATTCATCGCCGAGAGCTTCGCGCCAGCTTCAGCAGCGGCCTGGGCATCACGGCGTCTTGCTTCCTTTCTCCCCAGACGCTGCTTCTTTCCAGGCTTCTTCCGATGGGCTCCCATGATCAGAGATTCAGAAAAGACTGCGAGTTGGACGGATGGTGAATTGACACTTGAAGTTGCCGAATTTGCTGGGCTCTGATCGCAGCTGATGAGAACGCAGACCTCCGCAAGACTTCAGCGTGACTCGGACTCTTGCTCTTGCTGAAGTTCTAGATATGCAGCTCCTCCTTATCTGGACGACCCAGGCAGATAAGCTATCTAGGTACCGTACCTACCTACCAAGTATGGGCCAGGTTCGTCTCACCTTCACGCACGCTCTCCCAACCTGAGATCTCACCTGGCAACCCGCCGTATCCACTTTTGGTCTGGTCTCGCCGCGACCTTCAGCTTCAACCGTCTCCCGCCTTCGTTCACCACGAGCGGCCGCCTCATCTCGATTTTTTTATTGGCTGGTGTAAAAGATTCCCGATACGTACCGTCGGCTGGCGCACAATCAGTAAATCGTCTCGTATGCCCTCAGCCCTGCTTTCAAGTATTTAAACCTCCCCTGCCTCCCCTCTTCCTCTTCTTCATCTCCTCCTCCGCCTTATGCTTTTCTCCAAACCGCCACTCTCTCCCTCATTTCTCATCTCTTTCTCTCCTTGGGCCCTTTAACCATCCCAAGGTATTTTTCCTCCCTCCAATCCCAACGTTCGCAAACATTTCTCCCACTCCTCGACAAATGGACTTCGAGCCATCGCATGCAAGCGGCGTTGCTGCGAGCGAGGCTCCCATGGTACGTGTTTTTCCTCTCATCCATCCTACACTTTTCATCCCTCCGAAGGTCATTCCATCTCACACTTGCCTTCTGCCGCTCCTTCCTTTACCAGCTACTGACGCGCCTTCTGGAACAGCTCAGCTCCCTCGCCAGCACCACCAATGCTCATGACACCGTCGATGTCAACAATCACCTTATGGTAAGTCCATTCATTCTCATTTGTGTGCTTTCTTTTGCCTTGAGTCTGCACGTGTCATGGCGAAGGGCGTAAAAGTTACAGGCCTTACTACTTCGTGAGGTGCTTGGGCTTCTCGGGGCGGATCTTTCGCCGTCTTGAGAAATCGCCTGAGAGCCTCTTGAAAAGGATCCTTGTTTGACCCTCGCTGGCGCTCGCGCCGGCTTGGTTGCCCTTCGCAGTGATCGCTCCCCCATGCCGTCTCCCGCTCCCATCTGAACACCTGCTCGCGCGGGGTCTCAGCACAGTGGGAGGCACGCCCAGGTCTGATCCGGCTGGGAAACGGTGAAGAGGGCAGCTTGAAGGTGCCTCGCGCGCGCTTCGCTGCAGAAGGACTTTGTCTGGAGGGGTACACGTGGTTGCATTGCCAGCCGGCGTGGGGAGAAGGCGGACAAGCGGCAGCACTTCGAGCACATCAAATGCGGACTTACTCAGTTGGGATTCCCTTGCTGACTTGAATGTAGACAGGAACACCTCCTCCTCCCAGCGAGCTCTCGATTGCGACCTTTGACAGCGATGTTTCCGAAATCGTCCGGATGGCTCGCCATGCTCAGCTAACCCAAGTGCAGCAGGAGCAGGTGGGCGATCTTTTCACGCTTGCTTCCAACATTGTCAAGGGTCAGGGCTACAGTGAGGTGTCTGAGGATCAGCTCCGCCTCAAGAAGAAGGCTGAGGAGCTTCGGGAGGAGTTGGATGCTACGAAGAAGACCTTGGCAGCCACTGGTCGTGAGCTTGGCATTGTCAAGATGCAGATAGAGGACGTCTTTACAATGCGGCGCGTCTCCTTGCGGCAGACAATGTCCACTTGATTGATTATGAGTTCCCAGTGAGCTGACTGGCTTGCCTTTTGATACCCTGAATACAAACACATTTTTGCTCTTGCAACTTTTGTCCTGATGGTTGTGTGCGCCTTCCTTCTTTTGACTTGTTACCATCCTTTGACAAATTTTCCCTCTCCCTCCGACCTCACCAGGGCTCTCATTGTGCTCGACCTCCTATTGTTATTGTTGGTTGTCCGAAGGCGGGTGCACGTACCACATCTTCACATCTTCACGCACGCCTGCTGCTGAAGAACAGCTCTTGTGATTTTCAACCCACCCTCCTCCTCTTTCCAACTTTGTTATCGATTTTGCAACTTCGCCATCAACAGAACACCACACCTATTCTTCTTTCATCCACAAAATCTGCTGCGATGAACGTTAGTATTACTTCGCGCTCCTTCCAAATTTTATGCTAATAATATTTCAGGGAGAAAACATGGACACCGACCATGGCGGCCAAATGGCTGGTCAGATGCCTCACCAGGGCAGAGTCACCACCATAGGGCAGGTGTCGCGCGTTGATGAGAACGGCCTCAATGAGAATGGCCAGATGGTTCCTGAGCACGAGATTGAGACTGAGGCTCTCAACCTCCAATCTCTCGCTCAGGCTCTGCCTACCTCCAACCAGCTGCACACCTCTAACCAGCTGCGCACCTCTAACCAGCTGCGTAACTCCAACCGGCCGGTTGTTACCTTCACTCAGGTCTGTTTCCCTTGTCACTCTCCACTTTGTTTTGTCACGCTTCTAACAGAAATTCATTCCAGCCCCAGCGTTACAGCCGCCGCCGCATCGCTCTTCGTCAGCGTGTTCACAGGTTCATCCCCAACATTGCTCCCCCGGAGGACTTCGACACCTACTTCATGCCTGCTGTAGCCGCTTTCTTGGCTGGAGATTTTCCAAGGACTGCCCTTAAGACCTTTGAGGCCTTCCTCTTCGCCAGGTCGTCCTACAACCAGGAGATTGTCGCTGACTACCATCGCGAGGATAATGAGGACCCTCAGATGCGCGATATTCAGGCCAAGAGACGCCTCCAAGAGAACGTCTTCCGTGTCCAGACCATGGTCACTGACCTCGAGAGAGAGCTGAACAGACGTCAGATGCTCGGCGCTGAGACTGCGGAGGAGCTTCGCTACAAGGAATACGTCGTCCGCAAGCTCAGAGAGGACGTCATTCCTGAGGTCACTGAGCTTTTGGTTAGGTAAGTGGAAGCCAATGCAACGAATTTGATTATTTCTTCAGTTGGCTGACTTTTTTGATTTTTCTAGTTCTACCTGAGCGCTATCCGTCGTGCGCGTCCAACGCCGACATTTGCTAGCTACCACGGTTCTTGGCTCTGGGAGGGTTTTGCCGTTTTCTGTGATTGGACTGCAGGCCCAGGCATCATCATCCTCGACGTCAGAACGTGGAGCTGCAGCTTCCCGATCGTGCTTTTCATATCGTTACTTAGCACCGGCCTACCGCCCCTGCCGATTTCTTCGATCACGAGGCCGAGCCTCCGGCAGAGCATTCTGCAAGCTTGGTCCAGTGCTCGTCTTTGCGCTGAAAGTTCGACGATGGTACATGTTTGGATCTGGACGCGAGACTAGAAGGGTCAGCTGGGGTTTCAACCAATGTGACGCGAGGAATTTCAAATGGGCGGCTGGATGGGAACGTACATCATTGCTGGGCTTGGGGATATCTGGGAGGTCTTTGAATTCTGCGAGGAGTCCTAGGATCTCTGCGCATTGGCTCAAGGAACAGTCGACTTGGGTGTCGCTGGATGTCTTCTCGGATTTGCTATTAGCTCGTATCGCCCGCACACAGAACGAAGACTTACATTACTTGCAGTGCTGGCTCCCATTTTGCCAATGTGGTTCGGTGATCCTTTCGTCGAGAGTAGGTCAATTGTGTGATGGATGTGAATTCACGCAGGTGAGAAAGGCGGTCCGGAGCATCCTTCATATACCTGCCAGTCCTGCTCGCTGATTCAAGAAGTCGATATCGGACGATGACATCCAGACAGATGATCAGGCTCTAGGCTCGAATACTACGAAGCATCACTTTCGCGTCATGAATGGATATTTCTTGTGATTCACTGAGATTCCATTCCAGAACTTTTCGATCGTTTCGTGTGTGTAACCCAACAGTCTTTCGTGCTTCTCCTTCAATGCGTATCATGGTGTGCCGCCACAGGCGTCTCACGTCTCCTGTCTGCCATCCTCAAATGCTGCGGCGCTCACTGACAGCAATCACGTATCCCCAAACCCCTCCCTTAGCCGCTTCCCTCTGAGCCTCCTCAATCTTCACCTTCTCCTGAGCAATCTTCTCCTCCTTGCGCAAAACAGCCTTCTCTTTCGCCTCAACCTTCACTCTCAATTTATCCAGCCGCTCCTTCTCCCTCACCAAGCAGGCCTCAAGCTGCTGCGCGCTATCAGCAGCAACCCTGCGCGCTTCCCAGAGCTCCGTCGCCTCCCTGGCAACCGCCTCGCGCTGCTCCAGCAGCACGTCGTGGATTTGACCGACCTCGAGGTGCGTGGTCATGAGCTCGCGGCGCTCGGCGGTGTACCTCTGACGCACGTCGTCGCAGCGCTTCTTGGCGGCGAGGAAGTCGGCGTACTGCATGTCGGCGAGCTCGAGCATGGCGTGCGCCTCGTGGAGGGCGGCGTCGGCGCGGTCCTCGAGCTGCTGGAGGCGCGTCTCGCGGATGCTGTGCTCGATGTTGGAGCGGAGCTTGAGGGTTTGCATTTCGGTGATGGCGCGGCGGTAGTCTGCGACGGCTTGCTGGAGGCGGTTCATGGTGTTAGTTTGTGGAAGTTGATGGGAGTTTTGGAATGAGGGGATTTGGTGGTGAGGTTGGAGAAAGGAGGGAGACGAAATTGTGTATCTCGATGTCGCTCTGTTCCATGTGAAGATAAGGGTCAGGCGTGGGCTGGAGCATCTTGTCTGCTCTGGCGAGTAGGAGAGGAGGGTTGTGGTGGTCTTGGTCTCCTTGAGTGGGAACGGCGCTCTGAAGTGGTGAGATTGAGCGGTGGATGCCTATTCTAGTGATGTCTATTCTACGCGTGAAGTTGTCGTGGTACAGGTAACAGTTGGCTAGTGGCCCATCAAAGGCAGTCGTGAAAATCCTGATCAGCCTGCCTCTCAGTGTTCAAACATAGAGGCACTCAGGTAAACGGATAAAGAAATATTTCTGCTTTGCTTCAAATTTCAAGCACTTGCAGGCACTGGTCGATACATCCCTGAGCAAGCTTAACCTGTGGCTCTTTGGCAGAATTTTCAGAAGGTGAAGCGAGTTTTCGCAAATCTCCAAGAATGGGAAGGCACGATCAAATGTAAGAATCAAATTTGCTATCAAGTGCCCAATCTGTAATTAGAGGCAGAAGTATTATGAAGCGACGGCAATTCCACCCTCTGCTCTGCCTCAATCTGCCCAAAACTCAGCAGCAGCAAGTGTCCAGCGGCTCATCTCGTCGTCCACCCAAGTCGTAGATGAAGCCAATGCCCAAAGTGTAGTAGCCTCAAAACAGAGTAATCAAAACAGTCCGGATCAGCAGAGTCAGTACCTATCCTCAAAAGAACCAATCCTTCGTCTCCTCGTCCTTGATGTAGTCGCCGTCGCTGTCCTCTTCCTTGATGGGGACTTCCTCCATGTCCATGCCGTCCAAGTCTTCCTCCTTGATGAAGAAGTCGTCTCCATCCGTGTCCTCTTCCTTGATGAAGGCATCCTCGACGCCGTTCTCCTCGTAGTAGGTTTCGAAAAAGTTCTCCGCAACCGTGTAGTCCGCGTCGTCGCCGGGAAAGTTAAGTCTCTCCATGATTTCTCGTTCGGATGGCGGACCGTCCGTAGCTACTAGCCTTCTAACTAAGTCCATGCAAGCGTCCTCAGGAAAGACCTCGTACTGGGTCCCAGTGAAGGCATCAACCGTAGAGGAGGGTCCCATCGGCTGGTTGTACTCCTGCATCGTCGTCGGGGGGTACGGGGGGTTCGAGGTGTACTCTCTCGCCGGGTACCTCTCCAGAGAATAGAGGGTTCGCACGTCAGGCGATGGCCGCGTGATGGAGTTGATCTGCGGCGGGCTGTTATCCCGAAGCCACGCGAGGGGGTCAGCCGCGGGCGGGGCCATGGCTTGAAGGGGATCATTCGGCGGAAGCCCACGCATCCAATTACCAGGGTACGAGCTTGCATCAAGTTCCGCCTGTCGCTGGGAGACGTCGAAGCCGTAGTATCCAGGGTGCCCCTCGATACGCCTGCGGCCCGTGGGATCAGGACTGATGCCTCCATAGTTCTCGTAGAGTTGGGCCTGCTCGGCGGGTTGAGCGGCCTGAGGAACCTGAACAGCCTCGGCAGCCTGGGCCTGGGGGACTTCAACAGCCTCAGCAACTTGAACGCTCTCGCCGTCGTCGTTGTAGGCGTAAGCGGCGGCGTGAGCGTGCGCGCGCTCGTGGATGTCAGTGAGAGTGGCAGGAGGGCTCTGAGACTGGTTCTCGTAGAGGGCGGTGAGGCGGTCAACCTCATCGCGGGGCATCTCATGTGCGAAGACTCGGGCACGAGGGAGGCTGCCGCTTCGGGCGCGCTGCGTCTGTCCCACGTTGGGGTGGCCGTGGGGACCAGCCAGAGTCAAGTTGCCGCTCTCATCCTGGTTGATGTCGGCGTTGAGCACGTAAACCTCATAGTCGGCCGATCCTGCCGTGCGAACTTGGAGCTCTCTCTCTCCACGGAAGTGAAGATCTTCGGGGATAGGGATGCTAGGGTTCTGTCGGACGTATCGCTGGAAAATCCCATGGAGCTTCTGCAGCTTGGAGTACTTGGCTTCGAGGGCCAACTGCATCTGTTTGAGGTTGTCCTTGGCTGCCGTCATCTCAGCCGTGTGGTATTGGAACATGTCCATGATGTACTGCACGAGGAACGCGGTTAGCGGATGGCTCCGGTGCGAGTATAAAATGACTTACGCGCAAGTCATCCTGGTCGTCAACCTGCATGTGATTGTTAGGGGGTTGCAGCATTGTTTCTGAATGCAACTGGGGCAAGCGCGTGGATAAGGATTGTTTTGTTGATGCTTTGACGAGGGTTGTGAAAGTGGCGCGCGATTGCAAGAGAACAAATTTAAAACAATGCCACAGTCTGATTTTGTGAAGGAGCAAAGGTTTTTGTGAGGGATGGTGAGTAAGAGAAGTGCAATATTGCTATTGTTTTTGTTGTGTAGGAGGAGATTGTGTGAAAGGTGGTTGCTAAAAGGAAGGTCTGTTGTTGTGGTGAGGGCAGCGAGGACGAAACAGGTGCGTACACAAAGGGCTTGTCTGATTTTACTGCAATCCCAGTCTGGGTCCCTCCAGCTCATTACTGTGGTCTGGTTTTTAATCTACTTTCAGGAAGGTACAGAACACCTTTGGATTTTCTTCAAGCGTATCGCCCCTCATGCTTGAGTTGGCGCTGCGTTCACGAAGGCACACTCTCCCTCCGCCTTGGCCTTCCGCCCGTAAAAACATGACATCTTTCCTTGGAATAGACTGTGGTTGACCTCTCACCCTCTGGTTCCATCGACGTGCTCTCTCAGAACCCGCTCCCTGCAGTCTAGAATTCATGCGCGGTGTACCTCCGCCTAGCAGAACTTCTTGCATGTCTGGATGCCTGAAAGGTTGCGAGCCTCCCAAACCACAAAAATACCAACTATAGCGAGGCCGATGGTGGCAAGAGCTATAAGATTGATCATGACCTCAGTCCTCGCCCCATACGGCACCATCTCCAGAATTCGCTGCCAACGCGACTTAGGCCGCATCCAGATCGGAAGGCGGTCCCCATAGCGGCCCCGCATCATCTCGTTGGATCGTTCCCACGCCTTCACAAACGCGGGTCTGAGTCGATCGCCAGATTCGATGGGTGTGATGCCAAGAACGATCATCTCTGGGACTTGCATATACACTAACTCATAGAAGCCGTTTTGAAGTGGGATTGGTCGAGCGAATATCTCGAAGCGCGGCCAAGTGGTGGGGAGGGCGATGGGCGGCAGGTTGCCGGGGAGGAAGGGAGGAGGAACCGGGGTCGGGATCTCCTGAGGCTGGCGGGTTTGAAACTGGAAGGAGTTAGATGGATCGCGAGATTTTGAGATGAATCCGTACGCTCCCGGCTTTCTTGTGAGCGTCGTAGGCCCAGCTGGGCTTGTTGCCTCGTCTGGGAGGCATATCTTCTAACCTCGGAATAGGCGACAGAGAGGGATGATGAGGGACGACGGCGCAAGGACGACAGAGCCAGCCGGGGACGAGAGAGCCGACGGGAAGCAGAGGCGCAGGGCGGTGAGAGATGATGAAAGTGAACGATACCGACAGAGACAGAGACTCAGGATGACAATCAGGGACGAGGATGGAAGACATCAGTGAGAGATAGGAAAGGCAGGAAGGGAAGGTAGTACTAGCACCTGCCTGTTCTTGTATTGACAAGGACGACAACAAAATACACTGACAGTTTAGGGCGCGGATCGACTTAACTGTCAGCTTTGTCTAACTCTACTAATGGCAAACGCAAAAACGCTTCTGACCATGTCTGCTAAGGGTTCATAAATTCTATTCAGTGTGAAAGTGCACCTGTGGCTTGGAGATTTTGGATATCCATTGAAAATTGGACCCGACCATACCAGAATCCGAGGCAGACATTAAGACTCAACTGGCACCACCCCTTCATCAACACACTTCTCCCATTTGATCGCCCTCATATACACAGCCTGTACACACACGATAATCCAGAATCCAACCGGCAGCCCAACCCAAAACCCAAAGAGTCCCCAATGAGGACTGCCCAGCATCAACCAAATGGAAAGCGGCACAACCGCAAGGTAATTCACTCCAAACACAACATACGCCGCAAAAGACTGACGTCCCAGACCCCTCAGCATCCCGTTCGTCCCGCACAGCATTGCCTCTGCGACCTGAAAAAAGCACACTGCGACAATAGTCTCCGCGCAGATCCTAAACACATCAGCATCGTCAGTAAACACCCGCGGCAGACCCCGTCGGAACAGAAACGTCACGGCCCCGCTCAAACACCCGGCCGCAAGACAGGCAACCCCATGCACAACCGCCGCCCTCCGCGCCGCCCCAACAAGCCCCGCCCCGACGAGGTGTCCGATGCGGTTACTGCTGAACACGCTGATGGAGAAGGGCACATGCCAGACGACAATCGACGTCGTCGTGAGAATCGACTGCGCAGCCAGGTGTTTCTTGCTCAAATACGACGTCGTGAAGCACAGAATCTCAAACGCAGCGTACTCGCTCAGCGTCGCCACGGACCCGGCAAACGACAACCGGACCATCAGACCCCATCCGCGCAGCGCGTCGCGCGAGAAGCCGCCCCAGCAGCGACGGGACCACGAGCCGCGCGCGGAGGCGATGTAGAGCAGCAGCGCCGCGGCGCGGAGGATCTGGCTCATCGAGGAGCCGAGGGCCGCCCCGTCGAGGCCCATTCCCAGCGGGAACGCGAAGGCCCAGCTGAGGAGCGCGTTGACGGGCGTGCAGAGCGCGATCATGAGCATGGCGGTGTGGAAGTCGCCCTGATGCAGGAACCGCCTCGCGGCCTCGAAGAGAGCCTGGGCTGGGAGGCCGATGGCGCTCATGCGGAGAAGGTGCCGGCTTTGAGGGCGAGATGGGGCTGCTTGACGACGAAGGAGAGGAGGAACGGTGAGGCGATCCAGAACGCGCCGATGGGGAAGCACGTGAGCTCCATGAGGAGGATCATCTTCTGCACGTGCAGGCCGACGGTGTGGAGGTCGCCGGAGCCGTAGCTTTGGGCGCAGAGGGTGTCGAGGGCGGTGGCCATGCCTGAGACGAAGGCGGAGCCGAATATGGCGATGTTGGTGGCGCCGATGCTGGCTGCGGCGAGGTCGTCGGCGCTGAGGCGGCCGGCGATGTTGGTGGCGAGGACGCTGGGAAAGAATTGCAGGAGGTAGGTGACGACGAGCGGTGGGCACTGCTTGAGGAGAAAATTTACCTCGGGCCAGACGTCTTTTACCTGTAGTTCCGACGATTCGTCGCGCGCATGCAGCAGAGGCGCGTTTTCTTGAGGGGACTCGATGTCGTCGCACACATCGTTGCGTGCCGCACTTGCCATTTCTACGTATATGCAGTCAGGAGACGATAAAGAACAAAATTATGACTGTTTAGGGCTGTTTCAATGACTATGAGGCATGCTTACTAGTGATCAGAAGCCGGAGTAGAATGTGACAGAGTTCGATATCGTCGATATCAGCCACGTGGTGTTTGGGAACTCTCCGGTTGTCGATCCGAAGCCTTGTTTAAATACGAGATGTGACGGCCAATTGGAACACTCTGATGTGAAAGCGGTATTTATGATCACTAATCGGAAAGAAAAAGAGGAACGAATTTCTATGCGGCCAGTACCTTCATCACAACCTCAAGGTTTCGAGAAGCCTTCCCCTTGTGGTGTACCGACATCTCTGCTACGACTTTCTTTTTCGAACACTGCGGAACACTGTGAAGTAGGTATTTCGAACCTGCCTTGCGCTGGATCAGTTTTGTATTCGTGGAAGCAGACGGCCTAGGTGGTTGATAGGCATTACGTTGCGAGGGTGCTGAACCCGCGCAAGCTCCAAGCCGCGCGCGTTGGACATTCCTCGGGGAGCGCCATCTAATCAGATGATCTGATAAATTAATTATACGAGCGACCCAGACGATGCTATCGTCGACGCTATCGTGAGGTCTCCAGAGTCGAGAGAAATGTTCAGTTGGGGGTACAAATAGCATCACCGCTCCTGCTTTCAGTATCAAGACTCTGTTCGCAATCCGCCAACACCAACTTCCCACCTCACGCACCGAGCCCGACAACTTTCCCAAAACGTCAACGTCTAGCCTCAAATATGAAGTTCTCCATCATCGCCGCCCTTCTCATCAACGCCGCCGCCGTCATGGCCGGCGAGCTCCAGGACCGTCAGGCCGGCGCCTGCGTCACAGCCGGAGGTAGGTGTTCCCCCCCAATCCCGTCCAAGACAACGCGTGAAGAGTATGGCATCGATTGCTGACACCTTTTGAACGACTCAGGCGGCTGCGCGACTACGCCCACCAACCCGATGTACATGCGGTGCTGCTCGGGCCTGACCTGCTCCAACCACGTCTGCGTCTAGGAGGACCCCGCTTCAACACAGACACCACGCAGAAAGGCTGAAAGCCGACTACTAGAGGATTCGCGATGAGCACGTGCGGCATTTGGAAATCTGGGCGATGCCTTGTCAAGTGCTATGTATGTGCAGAAATCAGATGAAGGAAATCCATGAAAGTGTCTTTATATAGACTAGCGACGTCGTTCACAGGGGTTGGATTTCTAGATGTTGGCAGTCAATGCAACATCGGCATGTCAATCAGATAGGTAGACAGCCAATCGACCACTTGGAGGAGCTCAGCTGAAATAGCGTCTGGAATAGCGTGGCGATGTGAACGTCAACTACTACAATCGGTCGTACACATATCGCACCTCATGTATCGAGACTTGACGTTAGGCTGGACGGAGTCTCCGCAGCGGAGTGTCCACCTCTCTTCAGGACCCAGGCTCAGGAACGTCTTCGCGGGGTCGCGTAGTAGTAAAAGTATCGTGAATGCTTTGAATTATGCTGGACGTGCAGCATCACAAACGTCTCGCGGTCATCTTTTAAATAGACAACAAGCCTCCCCATCACCAGGACCGCCAGCGCGGGACCTTCCCGCAATTCTGAGCCATCCTTCCTCTCCATGATTAGCATCTGTCCCTATCACGGGACATCAGCACGGTAGTGCCATGATGAACTTTGTACATGGTGCCCATGGTGGCGATACATCCTCTCCCCGCCCAGATTTCTCCTATCCAACGCGGCACTTCTACAGGCCGGGGCCTTGAATGAGTTGGTTCAGCGACTCGCAAGACCATGGAACTCGTAATAGGCCCGCCAACCCTCCCTCTCCTCCCATCGGCGGAACAGAATGATATGAAACGACGCAACGCCATGCTCGCAAAATGTAGTTGATCAAACCAAAGCCGTCAAAGGCCACCCAGAGCAACAGACCAGCAGCGCAAGCCGCATGTTCAGCGCCAAGGTAGCCCCTTCAAAAGACAGAACAGTCCCACGCAAACCCTTCGATGCCATCCCAATAAACGACACATTATTCACGCCAGGCGGCACGGGGCCCCCATCTACGGGAGCTCAGCCGCGTGCGCCTGGTTCCGTCGCGGCGGCTCGAAGGGATTCTCCTGCGGCTGCTGGTGCGGCTGCGGCTCGAAAGGGTTCTCTTGCGGTCTCTGGTTATTGCGCTGCCACGAGGCGGGGGGCTTGCCCATCGTCGGGTGGTCGTCGACGTCGCCGTCGAGCTCGAAGTCGACCGCGTCCTCCTTCCTCTCGATGCGTTGCCTCCTCATGTGGAGGAAGGTCAACATTCCTACGGTACCGATGATAAGGACGGCGCTGCAACGTCATGGATTAGCCTTCGGTTTCCTCGACTTCGGACGGAAAGTTTGGACGGTCGCGGGAACGTTGCATTTTGAAGGAGGGTGGTGCTCGGGCAGTGCCAAAATCCCGGTTTTGGTCAATGCATGACGCGGGTAGCCAGGGGAAGAAAGGTAAAAAAGGGGTGGTTCGTCAGGGAGAGGAGAGGGGGAAGAACATACGCGGTGATACCGATGGTGATGCCGATGATCTTGGACGAGGCGAAGGGCTTCTCGCAGCGGGAGCTGTTGTCGCCGGGTTCGCAGCTGTCGCGCGCAGCGAGGTGCTGGAGAGTGCGGGCGACGGGAGCCAGGAGGCTGTCGGCGCGGCGCGCGATTGAGGATGTCGGAAAGCTCATGATGGGTGGTTTAGGGGTTATTCGTTGGTGATGGGATCGTTATTCCGTGATTCGGTGATTGCTCGGGTTGCGTGGGATGGGGTCGACCTCCTTTTCTCAGGTTCCAGGCCAATTCGATACCCTTGCGTCGCGTGTTGTAGTTTATGTTGCTTTTTTGTTCCGTCCCTTTCGTGTATGACCCTTTCCGTTTGCTGTCGCGAAGAAAATAAAAAATGTCTGTCGCTGCGTGCGTGCTGCTGCTTCCCTCTCAAATTCCTCAGATCGGCTGCGACGGAGGCGGACGGTGGACGGCAAGCGGTGGGCGACCGCTTTCGTTCTGCAACGAGTGGATGTTTCCCCCCTGGATTCGCTTGTGGTGAAACTGATTCGGAGCGACCCTGCAATCGTAATCCCTCTCTCTCTCTCTCTCTCTCAAGTGTCAACGGTTTATGCAAGGAGCGACGATGAAGAATAAAAGGGCTGCGAAAAAGGAAGGAAGACGCAAAAGGTGGCCAGCGAGCGCCAAGAGGGGGGAAGGGGAGCGAGGCACTGGGGAGGTAGAAATGGATTGAATGAGTGACGAAGAAGGATTTTGAGTTTTGTGCAGGAGAAAGATTGGACGGAAGGGACGAAGGCAAATGGAATGGAAGGAGTGGAATTTTGGGCAAAGCCAAACGCTGTTGCTGCTGCTGCTGCTGCTGCTGCTGCTGCTGCTGCTGCTGCTGCTGCTGCTGCTGCTGCTGCTGCTTACCTTAGGAAAACACGGGGAAGGAGAGGAGGCGGACACCGGGAAAGAAGCAAGGGGATGGGTCGAGGTGAAGGAAGGTGAGGCAATCTATCCAGGGGAGGGGCCGCCGTCTCAGGCAATCAGGGTCCGAGAAGGGGGCACACCGCGCCCCAGCTGCCACAGAATGCACCAACAAAGCCTCACTCTCTCCCCCAGGGTCCCCAATAATACAAGACACAAGGCATAAGCAGTGCCACTTGTTCCCTATTTTCCATGTCTCAGAGCACCTCACTCGCTACTGCACTTCGTAGGTATTCAGAGACACAGAAAACGGGGGGGAATTGTGGCTGTGTTTCACTCGTTTTCCCATGCCGAACAACCGGAATTGGCTGCTGTGATTGGCCACACCGCCCTCCCCCCCTTGGGGCCATCCCGCCGTAAAAGAGCATCCAGCGATCCGAGTCAACCGGAGGGAAGGGTTCATCGTCACCGAGAATTTCCCATTTTCATTTACGACCCAGGCGTCACTTTCACTAGTCTGCCGCAACACGAGGTGGGAGAGGGGCTATGCCTCCATGTAACTATTCATTCATACGAAAACCTCACAGGTGCCAGACTGCAGTTCATCGCCAGACATCTAACTGCTGCAGAATCGCTGAATCATGACTGACACACATTCTCCCTCTCTCAGTGCACGCACAACCAGGCTTGCACCCTGGAATTAATTTAAAGTGACTGCCAGAATAGCGGCTTGCGGGGAAATGCTTGTCTCGTGTTTCACATTCCGAACGCCTCCTCGTCGAATGAGGAGCCACCCATCCGTCTCCAATCCGTGCTGCTGACACTCGCTGAGCCTCTCTCTCCCACTCTCCTTCGCGGCGGGAAGGCGCTGTTCCTGCTTCAGCCTCTGAAAACCGGCAGTTCCCTCCCACTAGTTCCTTGAAATTCCTCTGCTTGCTTGAATTGTCACCGCGGGACCGAGGTGACAGATACAGCGGGTGT